TTTAATTTTTATTTCTTTTCACAAAATAACAAAAATACAAAAATAGTTAATTTAATTATTTTTTCTTAAATGAAATTAATTAGTCATTAGGTTTTCTTTATTTATTCAATTTAACTCTATTTTTCTCAAAATAACATAAAAACCACAAAAAATATGATTTTTCTTTCAATTAGGTTTAGACGGGGTCAAAACCCTAATTTTTCTCGTTCTTAATTCATCGCGCGCGTTTACTATTTTTTGCGATATTAATGTAACTGCTCATGGTATGTAATAGTTTAATTAGGATTTTCTTTTATTTATCGTTTTTACGGGTTTTTGGCTATGTAATTAATCCCCCCCCCCCCCCCCCCCGAAGCCTTGTAATAGCGTAGTTTTATTTCTCGCATTTTAATTCTCACAAATATTAACTGTTAGATGTATGATAATAGGATTGCATGACAAGATTGTATGTTAATTTAAAATGGCTAGAAAACCCTAAATATGCAAAGATAATAACTGAAATCAAATCACTCGCACATGCGCACTCCTAGGGTATACTCTCACTTCGGTTGCCTTCGGTAAACGATCATTAAGTATAGGGTGTCTTAATGGTTTCCCTCTTGTCTAAACAAAGATCAAATGTCCCGTTCGGAAATGTTGCCTCGGAAAGGTTGCCTTGGAAATGTTGCCTCGAATATGATCTTAAGACACTAGGATTATTACTAAGACGTCCTAACCTTGCTTTGGTGATCGTACGCACCTTACGAATTGACCCTTACAACTCCGACGATGGTGCTACCTACTCTTTAATAGTGGGATAACACTGTCTAAAGGAAACAAAAACCGAAACATTCTTTTTTCGAGTAGGTAGATGTTAGTAGGTACTTGCTCAAAATAAACTTTTTCACACCAAACACTTTTCAGACAAAGTTTTCAAAAACAACTTCGTAACACTCTAGAAGACAAGCAAGGGTTAAAACGAAGTAAAATAAAAACTTTTTCAAAAACACACAAACACGGAAGCAATTTTTAAAATGATGAACAAGTACCTAAAAGCCCATGGAAAACCACGGATAGAAAGGGTGCTAATACCTTCCCTTTCATAATCTACCCCTCGTACTCAAAATCTCGAAAAAAGGAATTTTTCTGTGCTTTTTTCCTTTCCAGTTGGATAAAATAAAAGTCGATGGCGACTCTTGCTTACCGCGACATTTTGCAAACACAAACGCAAAATGCAAACCAACATTTTTTCTCAAAACAGTCCGGTTCTGCCGCCGTATCACATAACTGGCGACTCTGATGGGGAGTTAATAAGTGGGGTATACCTTAGGATTAGTTCATCATAAATTGCTTCTCTTGTTTGTTTTGGTTGCTTTACTTTTAAAGGTTTTGTATTGGGAGTTACTATAGATCCTAACCCGGATCTGGGGACAACTTTTAGGTAAGTAGCAATAAACTGTGAGGGAACTGTACGGCGTAGACCGATACGGTTGAAGCAGTAGCTACGTTGATGTGGCACATTGGTTGGTACCGGTATCCCTTGTGGAGAAACGAGGAGAATACGGGGCTGCTATGTGTGTCGTTAAGCATCAATTGACCTTAGAACCCATAATTGACCAACTTGGCCATTAGGAAGTAGTGAGATAGCCGGCCTCGGTGTAAAGCTGAGAATTGGTTGATACTCGATACTGCACTCATTGAGACCATACTCTCGAGATAGTTCTGGCTGCAAGAAAAGATTACGTGAGCTGAAACCATGACCGATGGAGGATGGTCAGTGATATTGAGAACCTCTAGAACCCGATTACTATTACTAGGACAGGTTGAAACCAACTGAACTTCAAGAGGGTAATACCTTTGACCCCATGTGTTGTACCCAAAAATTTGCCCTCCCATATTCTCCAAAATTTGTCAAGTCAAGGTCACAAAATGCCCCAAGGGTTGTGCAGCTCAACTGTCTCCTATACAGTCAAAACTAGGGTTTGAGTTCTGGTCAAGCAAATGAACTTTTCAAAGGCCCAATCAAGTCTCATATGCCTACAAATGTGGTCAAGCATCCTCATGTCAAGTTTCAAGGCATTCAGCTCAAAATTGCACAGTCAAAACCCTAGATTGCACTGCAGTCAACTGTAGGGGCAAAATGGTCATTTGACAGTCAAAAGTTCAAATTTTTGATCAACATATCATTTTGAAGCCACAAACATCATTTGATCAATGCTTGATCATGATTCTCAAAATTTGGCTCAGAGATCATCAAAGATACAAAAGTTGCTATATTTGGACAGCTGAAAAAGTCAACTGAAATTGACCAGGGCATAACTTTCACATGGATTATCAGAAAAATTCCATCCAAAGCTCATTTTGAAGAGAAAGACATTTCCTACAACTCATCTTCATATTCCAAGTCCAAGAAATGCTCTCACAAAAAGTTATCAATTTCAACATTATAGGTCATTTTCAAAAGTCAACAAAAAGTGACTTTAAGTCAAAGGCCATAACTTGAGATTGGTAAATCAAAATGACATGGGACCAAAGGCATTGGTTAAAAGACTCAAAGACCTTTCCAAAATGTCCAAGAACATGTGAAAAGCTTAAAAATTGACCAAGTTATGCCTTGTGGAAGTTGGGAAATTTTTGGGAATTTTGAAAAGTCAACATTGATGCAAAAGGCCTAAAAATGCAAATGGGCCCATTTTTCTTCCAAGTTTCTTCATGCCAAGCCTATATACGACCACTAGGCCCAAAGGGAAGTATTTTCATATTTTTTAATTATTTATTTGAATTTATATTAATTTATATTCATTTAAATCATTTTAATACATGAAAAATATAAACCTAACCTAAAAAAATCTTTTTATGCACATTATAATGTCAATATTTCGTGCACTTCTTAATTAAGCAAGTTTTGATGAGAATTGATCAGATTTGAACCAAATTGCACATGAAAAGATATGAAAAAGATTTTCCAAAATCAAATATGTAAAACCATGAATGCTTGAGATTTTGTGCAAAGTTTTTAACCTAATAGTCTCTATACATACTCAGCATGATAACCCTAATGTTCCTAGACTGCAAGCTGCGCAAGAAACCAACATACAAACTTGAGAAAATTGCCTTAAAACTGAAATCTGAAATCAAGGTTATAGGTGAATTCAAGCTCCAATTTTTGTTCCATCAGCATCCTTAAGCATCCCTGATCAAATTCCAACCAAGAACATCCACCAAAAGGCCCTGAATTGGTATCAAGAACCCGAACTGAACCTCAAAAATTTTGAAATCGCATAGCATGAATTAAGCATCCTTTTGCATTTTTCTTTGTATATTCATGATCACAATGATGTTTCTAAACTAACTGATGCGTTTGATTGCATTTTCGTGCCACATATATGATTTTGCCATTGCTAAAAGTTAGGGTTACAGGTTTCTTGAATTGGGGATTTTGCATAGAGGAAAAATTGGGGCTCGTGAGTACCATGGTTGAACTCAGCACATCAAGACGAAGAAGTCTTGACCCTCGCGCCCAATTTATATATACCATAGCGCTAGTCGCTATTTTTTCATAGCTTGCCTAAAACCACGCCCAGAAACCGTTGCCTATTTTGTTTTGTTTTCAGGTACAGGGAGGAAGACGACTCCGTGTCAGAACGTGATAGGCGCGTTTGAAAATTCGCGCCAGGCCCTCCACTAATACCGTGTTTACTTATTATATTTAATTGATATTATATGTTAAATGACAAATGCTTGGTCCAGTGGTGCACGTGGAAGTTTGCAAGGGGAATGACCTGGGTTCGATCCCAGGTCTTCATCCTTTCCCTTATTATTTTTTCATTGATAATTATATGCAGGCACTATCCTAAGACTCATCATGCACACTCAAAGCATGACCATCCACGCGTCCTATACAACCAGATCAACGACCACGATGCAAAGAACATGCTAGGACCAAGTCAACACGCTGGCATACGAACTGGAAAAGTCAATGGACTCAGGCGTTATTGGGCCAGAATCTCCAGGCCTACACCTCCATCTGGGGCCTGAACCCCCCCTGGTTTGCTTTTTTTTTTCTTTTTATTATTTTAATTATTGTGTTATTTATTTTTATTGCTTTAATTAATTAATTTTCTTTTTTTTACAAAATATGAAAAACATCATAAAAATCCAGAAAAAGATAAAAATGTAATAAATATTTTATTTTAATTATTTTATTTTCATGAATAAATTGTGTAATTGAATTTAGTATAATTAGGTTTTTTAATTTTGATTCTTTTTCATAACAAAAATATAAAAAAATATAGAATTTAGGTTTAATTGTTGACCTTAATCTTTTTTTTAATTTTCCTTTTTTTGTAATAATATTGCTTATTTCATTTATTATTTCCATGAGTAAATTGTATATAAAAATTAATTTAGGTTAAATTAGTCAAATTTCAATATTTTCTTAATAATTAACAAAAAATTAGAATTAGGGTTTTACCTCCACCTTTTTAATTTCAATTAACTCCTTTTTCTTTTAAATCTTAAAAAACACAAAAATACCAAAACATTTAATTTTTAATTTTCATTTTTTTTAATTTCCTTATTAATTTTAATTATTTTTGCAAAAGGGTCCAACGCCCGTCGCCTTTAATTATTAATTTTGCGCATTTATTTTATGTCACTTATTATAATTATGTAATTGTCCCAAAGCATTGTAATTTAAATTTCTCGCACTTTTATTTTTCTGCTTTATTTATTTTCCGCTAAATCGGGTCCGGTTTAATTTTGGCGATGTGGACCCGCGCCGTTTGTAATAGTTTAGATTTATTTTCCGCAAACTTTATAACTGTTAAATATGCATGCAAGAATGAATGGCCTTAATTAAAATCAAGCGTAGATCACAACAAACATGACAAGACAAATAACTGAAACATGACACACAATTCGCACACACCACCCCTAGGGTACGCCTCACTGTTGCCTTTCGAAAGGTGATCGTCGAGTAGAGGATGTCTTAGTAAGTCCTCATGATCCGGGAACCTGGCATGAGGGTAGCTTCTAAGGTGTCTTCCCATTGCTCTGGTGATCACCATGTCCCTAAAATCGAATTGACCCGAACACCTCCAACGGTGGTGCTACCTACCTCTCAATGGTGGGATGGCACTACTTTAAAGGACATTTACACAGACGAATTCCTTAGGGTAGGTAGGTTCTCAAGGATACTTGCTCTAATTTCAAAAACAAATCAAAACATCTTTTCACCTACACATTTTCAAAAGCTTTCAAAACAAACTTTTCAAACACTCTGACGTGTGAGTCGATCTGAAATTTTTCAAAGAAACTTTTTTAAACCCACATTGAAAAGCACACAAAACAATTTTGAAAACACATTGAGCAAGTATCTAAGATCCCATGGATAACCATGGATAGAAAGGGTGCTAACACCTTCCCTTTCTATAACCCACCTCCCGAACCGAGAGCAATCTCTTTAAGGAATTTTTCTGTGCTTTTGTCCTTTCCATTTGGAGAAAATAAAAGACGGTGGCGACTCTTGCTTCCGCGACATTTCGCGAACCAGCGTTAAACAGTCAGTTCCAGATCCACCGATCACAGAACTGGCGACTCTGCTGGGGAACCTTTATAAAGTGAGGTGTACCTTAGGGCTAAGTCATAACTGTGTTTTCACTTGTATTGTTTTGCTTGCTTTACTATTGTGGGTTGCATCGGAGATACATAGATCCTAACCCGGATCTGGGGATACCCTGTTTAGGTAGCATAATCTGTGAGGGACCTGTCCGACGTAGACCGACACAGGTGAAGCAGTGGCTACGTTGGTGTGGCACCTTAGTCTGTACCGATATCCCTTGTGTCGCAACGAGGAGAATATGGGTCTTCTAAGGAGTCATTAAGCACCAACAACCTTAGAACCTTAATTGACACAACTTGGCCTTTAGAACAGTAGCAGTATGCTACGCCCATTGAGGCTAAACTCTCGTGATGGTTCTGGCCGCAAGAAAAGATTGCGATGCTGGAGTTATGACCGATTGAGGGTAGTCAATGATATTGGGATCCTCTAAGAACCCGGTTACTTTTGATTAGGACAAGTATGAACCAACAAACTGAAAGAGGGTAGTACCTAGACCGCATGCTGGCCTAAACTTTAGGGGCTTGCCTTGTGTGACTTGTGTGCCTTATATGTTTGCCTTTGTATCTGTATGTGGTGTGCTTTATCATAACATCATAACATCATGAGCATTGCATGCATCCTGCATAAGAACTGACCATTTCAAAGACAAGAGGGTTTCATCTTTGCTCTGTTTTGTAGGACATTATGATGCCTGTGCGAAGGAATACTATCCGGTTCAACTTTGTTCGTTCACCTGAGTTGCTTGATGAGTTGGTTAGCAGAATTCCAAACACCACTTCCTTCATTCAGAGGCATGGTTCTCTTCTCAGTTTAGTCACTGCAAAACGGGATCAACAGTTGATGAGTGTTCTGACCCAATTCTATGACCCTCAGTACCAGTGCTTCACCTTTCAAGACTTCCAGCTGGTCCCTACCCTGGAAGAGTTCTCTAATCTGCTTGGTATCCCTATCTTGGATCAGACTCCCTTTACTGGTTGGGAAAAGACCCTCAGGCTTGAGGACATTGCTGCAGCTCTTCCTTTGACCCATCAAGAGGTAACAGACAACTGGGTAACTAGAAGCGGAGTTAAGGGTTTCTTGGCCAAGTTTCTGATTGGTAAAGCTAACAGCTTCTGGAATGACTTGGACTTTAGGGCATATGAAGACATCTTGGCTCTCCTAATCTATGGGTTAGTCCTGTTTCCTAATCCTGACAACTTCATCAATGTCACTTCCATTAGGATCTTTATGTCTCAGAACCCTGTGCCCACTCTCTTGGGTGACATCTTGCAACAACTTCATGCCCGTACTACCCGAAGACGAGGAACCCTATGGTGTTGTATCCCTTTGTTGGTGAGGTGGTTTATTTCGCACCTCCCTAAGTTAGTACTGAAAAACCAAGAAGGAAGAGGTTGGGCTCACAGGTTAATGTCTCTCACCGATAAAGACATCATTTGGACTTGCAGAGGTTTGGATGAGATAGCTATTATTGATCGATGCGGGGAGTATCCTAATGTTCCTCTGATTGGTACTCAAGGAGGGATCTCTTACAATCCATGTCTAGCACTCCGTCAGTTTGGAAGAGCAAGAAGAGCAGGCCCCCATGAGATGTTGGTGCCTCACATCAGTTTCGAGTTTCAGGTGGATAGTGACGAGCTGCGTCGTAGGTTCATCAAGGCTTGGGACAAGGTTCATAAAGCTGACCCACAAGAGCTAGGGCCAAAGACTTCTTTACCTATGGAAGCCTACTACAAATGGGTCCGCATCCGTGCTCAGAAGTTAGGTATGCCGTATGAAGCTGTCAGACCCGTCGTTCTTGAGTGTCCTGATAAAGATGGTGTTCCTCCAACTGTCCTTCCTCCTCAGGTACCTACTGATTATGAGACATTGAAGAGATCTTGGTCGCAACTGCAAGAAGAACGGGATTCTTACCGGGAAAAGTTCAACGAGCAGGAATCAAAGATCCAGAAGCTGACAAAGCAGTTGGAGAATGAGAGAGCCCTGAATGCCTACCTCCGTACTGAGAAGAGGAGACCATGGGATCAATGAGGAATTCTGAATGTGCCTTTACAGTTTTTATTTCCTTTCCAGTTATTTCATTTCATGTAAACGCCTAAGGGCAACTTGTTGAATAATTTCAGTTGCAAAGTCGAATCTAATAAAGTGTGTTCCCTTTTTTGTTTACAAAGTTGATTCCCGATTGTCTTTGAAAACATAATTCATACGCATTTCATACATCATGTGCATAGCAGGTTTTTCCCCTTTTCAGGTTGCTTACAGTTCTTCGCTGTTTATTTCAGCATCATGAATCCCGGATCTGAATCAACAGAGACATCAATCAAGGCTCTCCAGGCGCAGAATGCGCAGTTTCAAGAATTAATCATGGGTCTAGCTAAAGGCCAAGAAGAACTGAAGACTATGCTCCTAAAGAAGGAGAAGAAGAAGAAAAGAAGAACTGTTCTATTCAACACGGGCCGAAGGTTGGGTAATACTCTGCACCATGAAGAGGCTGGTTCTTCTGTTGGTAGGAGTCCTTCTCAGGCAGAAGTCAAGGTTCCTACTCCAGAAGTCTCCGACAAAGAGACAGATTTTGATGAAGAGCAGTACCCTCCTGAAGACAACAGGTACAAACAACTGGAAGACAGGTTAAAGGCTATGGAGGTGCAACAGGTACCTGGGCTGGATTTCGGAGACCTGGGTTTGTCGACTGGTGTGATCATCCCGCACAAGTTCAAAGCACCCACCTTCTCCAAGTATGACGGGGCATCTTGTCCCAAGCTGCATTTGAGGTCCTATGTTCGAAAAATTCAGCCGTACTCTGCGGACAAGAATCTCTGGATCCACTTATTCCAGGAGAGTCTTTCAGGGACTCATCTCGAATGGTTCTATCAGCTGGATGGGACCAAAGTTCGTAACTGGGAGGAGCTGGCTACTGCTTTCTACAAGCAGTATCAGTATAATGCCGACCTTGCCCCCACGCGTACCCAACTCCAGGGTATGTCGTTAGGCGTAAGCGAAGGCTTTAAGGAGTACGCTCAGAAATGGAGAGACCTGGCTGGCAGGGTGCAGCCACCATTGACTGATCGAGAGTTGGTTGACATGTTCTTGGGGACCCTATCTGGGCCATTCTTTAACCATCTCATTGGGAATTCTTCTGCTGGTTTCACCGATTTAATCTTAACTGGAGAGAGAATTGAAGCTGGGCTGAAATCTGGGAAGATTGCGAAGGGTGCATCCTCATCTAGTTCAGACAAGAAACCATTCAAGAAGGAGTCTAGTGCCGTGTATGGTTCTAGGAGATCAGAAAGGAATGAGCACCGCCAATCTGTCAGTGCGGTTATGATTGCTAAGCCTGCTGCCGCTCCCCGGCCAAACAATACTCAGAAGGTAGAAAGACCCCGGAGAGAATTCACCCGGTTAAACATGACCTTGTCGCAGATCCTGCCACAGTTGCTCGCAACTAATTTAGTGACTGTCAGGGAGGCTCCAAAGTTCCCAAATACAGCATCTCCCAAGTACAACCCGAATGCTCGTTGTGCTTACCATTCAGAAAGCCCGGGACACTCTACTGATGACTGCTGGGCATTGAAGAATAAGGTGCAAGACCTTATCGATGCAAGGGAGATACAATTTGAGGCGCCTGCAAAGCCGAATGTAGTTACTGCCCCTATGCCTCAGCACGGGGTAAATGCTGTTGACGAAGATGTTTATGCTGTTTCTGTGGATGATTTAGCCACTCCTTTAAAGATCATTAAGAAGAACCTACTGCAGGCCGGTTTATTTCCGGGTTGTAGTGAGGGTTGCTTGTTCTGTGTTGTGTCCCCATCCGGTTGTCCCTTGCTAAAGTTAGGCATCCAAAGCTTAATGGATAGCAAGGAGATTCTATTCAAGAAGTCTGCTGTTCGTATGGTTCCAATGGAAGAAGTCTCTGTGGTGACTATCTTCAACAATCCGATCCCGGCTCTCCAGAAGAAGCCCGTTCAAATTCTGACCGTTGCACCTGTTACTATCACTGTTCCTGGGCCCCTGCCCTATGTATCCAACAAAGCTGTCCCTTGGCACTATGGGGCAGATGTATATATAAACGGGGTTAAACAAGAGCTCAACGCTGGCGCCAGCATCTGTGACATCACTGGCCCGGCCAAAGTTACCCGCAGTGGCAGGCTCTTCTCGCCTGACATTGCGCCACCGGCTGCCCGAAGACCACTCCTGATAATTCCTGCAAGTACACCTACTCCCGTTGCTGATCAAGTCGTTGTTCCTGCTGCTGATCCGATTGTTTCTCCTGCTGCCGAGTCATCCAATGCTCGGGGCAAGGGAGTTGAAGCTGAGCCTGCCCAGACGGAGGCGCCCATACCCATAGCTGCTGAAGCCTCCCCACAAGAGATGGAGGAGATTTTGAAGATTATAAAGAAGAGCGATTTTAATGTCGTGGAACAGTTGGGGCATACGCCCTCCAAGATATCCATGCTCTCTTTACTGTTGTGCTCTGAGGCCCATGCAAAGGCCCTCATCTCATTCCTCAAGACGGCCCACGTGCCACATGAGACCTCTGCAGTCCAGTTCACCGATTGCGTGGCAAGTCTAACAGCAGACAATGGCTTGGGTTTTTCAGACGCTGATTTGACCACGAAGGGGAAAGATCATAATGATGCTCTGCATGTCTCAATCGAATGCAGGGGCACCACCTTGGCACATGTGTTGGTTGATACTGGGTCATCTTTGAATGTGCTACCCAAGAAGGCTCTGGATCGTCTAGATTGTGAAGGTCTGGATTTGAAACCCAGCAATATCATCGTCAGGGCCTTTGACGGTTCGAAGAGGATGGTCCATGGGGAGGTTGACATTCCAATTCGTGTGGGCTCTCAGGTGTTCGACTCCACTTTTTATGTGATGGATATCCGTCCATCTTACTCTTGTCTGCTGGGTCGACCCTGGATACATAAGGCTGGGGCAGTGACCTCTACCTTGCATCAAAAACTGAAGTACCCCGTCAGAGGGAAGATTGTCACCGTGCAAGGAGAGGAAGAATATATGGTGAGCCACCTAAACTCGTTCAGATACATTGAGATGGATGGGGAGTTCATTGAGACCCCCTTTCAGCATTTCGAGGAAGTGTTTCCAATTGCAGCAGAAACAACAGAAGCAAGTGGTCCTTTGAAGATGGCCTCTCTGAAGGATGCCAGGGCTGTGGTGCAGAAGGGTGAAGGTGCCAACTGGGGCAGACTTCCAGACTTCGCCCAGAAGACTGATAAACTTGGGCTGGGTTTCACCTTAGAAGGGCAGAGAGCTATGAGGAAAGAGAAGATCGGAAGACCTCCGGTATTTATTAAAGGTTCAGAAGTGAATGCTGTCGGGGAAGACCTTGAAGTAGACGAAGCCGAATTCAACAGCTGGATTTATCCAACGGCCGAAGAAGGATTAAACAATTGGAGTGCAAAGGACCATACCCCTGTTACCTTTGTGACACAGTAATGAATTCCCATGTTTTGTTATTTTGTAATAAACAATGATAAACTCTATGGCCCGGTGTCTTACCCGAGGCACCGTGGTTCTATTTGTGAGGGCATACAAACTGTCATTTTATACATCATGAATGAAAATCTTGGACGTACTTTTCGCATTACAAATATTGTGTTCCTTTTCTATCTTTCCTTTCCTTTACATAATTTTCAAAACAGCTGTATTTACACACACACTCACTCATACAGGTTCCAATCCACTCTGGATCTCACTGATAACAGCTCTGCTAATGCCAATTATGACTTCGAAAATCCGATCAACTTAGCCGAAGACGAAGGTGAAGATGATTGCGAAGTGCCTGGCGAGCTTGCAAGACTGTTGCTTCAGGAAGAGCGGGCAATTCAACCCCATGAAGAGCCAGTAGAGACCATAAACCTGGGTACTGAGGCAGACAGAAAAGAGGTAAAGATTGGTGCCAACCTAGAGCTCAGCGTGAAGCAACGGTTAACCAAGATGTTACACGACTATATGGAGATCTTTGCCTGGTCCTACGAAGACATGCCAGGGTTGGATACCGATATTGTCGTCCATCATTTGCCGACTAAGGAAGACTGCCCTCCAGTTAAACAAAAGGTTTGTCGGATGCGTCCAGAGATGTCCGAGAAGATTAAAGCCGAGGTCATGAAACAGTTTGATGCCGGGTTCCTTGCAGTGACTTCTTACCCTCAGTGGGTTGCTAATGTGGTGCCGGTACCTAAAAAAGACGGTAAGGTCAGAATGTGTGTCGATTACAGGGATCTGAACAGGGCCAGCCCCAAGGATGACTTCCCCTTACCTCACATTGATGTCCTCGTTGATAATACAGCTCAGCACAAGGTATTCTCTTTCATGGATGGCTTTTCAGGTTACAATCAGATCAAGATGGCACCTGAAGACATGGAAAAGACTACATTTGTTACTCAGTGGGGCACCTTCTGTTACAAGGTCATGCCGTTCGGATTAAAGAATGCTGGGGCAACCTACCAACGTGCCATGGTTGCCTTATTTCATGACATGATCCATCATGAGATCGAAGTGTATGTGGACGACATGATCGCTAGGTCCCAGACTGAGGAAGAGCATCTAGATCATCTGCAGAAGTTGTTTGACCGGCTGAAACTGTACAAGCTGAGATTGAACCCGAACAAGTGCACCTTCGGGGTAAGATCTGGGAAGTTGCTAGGCTTCGTGGTCAGTGATAAAGGTATTCAAGTGGACCCTGCTAAGGTCAAAGCTATTCAAGAGATGCCAGTTCCTAAGACAGAGAAGGAAGTCAGAGGCTTTTTAGGACGCTTGAATTACATCGCTCGATTCATCTCTCATCTGACTGCTACCTGTGAGCCAATCTTCAAGCTACTGAAGAAAGATCAGGTAGTACGTTGGAACGATGAATGCCAAGCTGCCTTCGACAGAATCAAAGAGTATCTCCAGGAACCACCTATCCTTATGCCGCCGGTTGAAGGGAGACCTCTGATCCTATACCTGACAGTGCTAGACAACTCAATGGGGTGTGTGCTGGGGCAGCATGATGAGTCTGGCCGAAAAGA